AAGAGCGTAAGCGGATACGAGCAACCATTGCGCATCTGGAGATGAAGGTGGAGAACCTACGTTGGAGAGTGATGGCGGACCCGGCGGCGCAGGATATATATGAGGAGCTGGTGAAGTGTGAGGTGGCCCTGAAATTGTACCATGACAGTAACAAGGAGAGGCTGCAGGTCATGACGGGTTTGATGATCGAGCTGGCTGGGGAGACGCCTTCGCCATTCCTGTCAGGCCTGGTCAAATCAAAGAAGGCCAAGACGGAAATCAGTGAGCTTCTTTTTAAGAGACGACACTATAAAGGCGCAAGAGAGGTGCTGGCTGCGGCTTCAGAGTATTTCAGGGAGGCTTATGCGGCCCCGAGTCAGCAAGACCTTACCGAGCCATGGCGGATAGAGGAGGGGCGCAAGCTGCATGAGTCCGATCAGGCGCAGTTGAGCCGGGGGTGGATGGAGCAGGAAGTAAAGACGACGCTCGAAGGTCTTCCTTCAGGAAAGGCGCCGGGGCAGGACGGGCTGCCTAAGGAGTTTTTTTAACGGAATTGGGACCTGTTGCGGCCGGCGGTGATGAAGGAGATCCGAGTCTTCGAAGAGTCGGCGGTTCTCTCGGAGACCTTCACCACTGCTGTCACCATCCTTCTGCACAAAAAAGGAGACAGAGATTCGTTAAGCAACTACCGTCCAATCACTCTACTGAGTTTTTTACTACAAGTTACTGGCAAGGGTGCTGGCAAACAGAATCAGAACAGCTTTACCGCGGACGATATCTTCGAATCAGTTTGGCTTCCTCCCCGGGAGAAGTCTGATGGAAGCGGTCGCGCTGGTTGCAGACGTGATCGATGCGGCGGCGGAGGAGGATGAAGACTGGTTGCTACTCCTGGTGGACTTTCAGAAGGCCTATGACTCCGTATCCCGAGAGTACCTGTTTGGGACACTGACAGACATGGGCTTTCCGGAATGATTCACGGCGTGGGTGAAAGGCTTACATGAAGGGGCAGCCACGAGGCTGCTGCTCAATGGTTGGACAGGCAAACGGGTGGAGATGCACAAGGGAGTGAGACAGGGGTGCCCGCTCGCACCGTACCTGTTTCTCTGCGCGGTTGAGCCGCTCTTCCAGGAAGTGGAGAGAAGGGGACTGGGAGTAAGGAAAAGAGGAGTAGCAGGAGAGTTGGCGTACGTCGGCTACGCCGATGATACCACATTGGTGCTGAAAGGGAAAGACCAGGTGATCAAGGCAAAATCCCTGTTGAAGGACTTCGCTGGGGTCTCGGGTCTGCAGATTAACCGGGACAAAATGATACTGATGTTGTTGGGTATCAAAAAGAGGCGTACGCAACCAGATGACTCACCTTTCAATTGGGCGGTAAAGGATACGTCGGAGCGATTGCTGGGAGTGTGGATCACGTCCGGGGGTTCACCAGTGCCGGCTTGGGACAAGGCCTTTGAACGGGTGAGCGCGGTTCTCAGTTGCTGGGCGACGAAGCACTCAAAGACCTCGGCGAGGGTCACCATCATCAACTGTTACGCGATGCCGATTCTGCTCTTTCAGGCGTATATCTATGCCCCACCGCATGACATCTGGAAGAGAGTGCAACGGCTGTGTCACAATTTCATCACAGACGGGAAATCACTTTTCGACAAGCACTTCATATTGTGGAGTTTTGAGCTATCCTGCAGGGAGCGGAAGGAAGGAGGGCTGGGAGTCATTGACCCAAAATACAGAGTTAACAGCATGGTCATCCAAGCACTTGGGAAGGCAATCGCAGAACAGGACCCAATGAGGAAGTGGTTGTGGGAGAAGGCGGCGGGCTTTCCTCTCGGCCTGGCGACAGTATATGCACATCACTCGATACTGAAATACTGGCCGAAAGGGGGAGTCAGGTGGAAGTCGACGCTCAGCGCCTTGTGGGAATCCAAGATTGTGACGGTGGGGGAACCGGAGAATCGCTGGGATGCGGAAGGAGAGGAGCTGCTCTTCAACCGGAAAATATTTTTCAGGGGAAATTCGCCTTTTGGGGGACAGAAAGGGTCCCACTGCCTGATGAACGTAAAATTGGACGATCTGCTAAAAAAAGGGGCGGACGGGAGCAGGAGCCGAAAAGATGATGCCACACTGGAGAGAGAGTTAGGTGGAGAAGATCAACGGAAGTGGGCAGTCAAATCATGGGAGGCGACACCCCAAAACTGGAAGGACATGGTGCTGAGGAAGTTAACGGCAGAGGAAGTCTTCATGGCGGCCAGGTTGGTGCAGACGGCATCTCACCTTCCTGGAGAGTTCCTATACTACAGGCTGGACTATGCGAGAGAAGGGGTGCTTTACGGAACAAGAGTGACGGTTGACAAGAAAAAGTTCATCAGCAGAGTGGAGTACGCCAGCGTAACAGACATTAACTTTCTGCTGGCGACACCTATGGTGGAGATGGACGGCAAGGTACGTGGAGCACTGGGGGCTCCAAGGATGCGGCTTTTGAGATCACAGATCTATAACAAGGTGGAGCGAGCCGAGCTGAGGCAACTGAGGAAGGCAATGAAAACCCCAACGTCCCAGCCGAAACAACAGCTGCAATGGGAAGAGACGTTGGGGAGGAAGGTGGACTGGAAGAAGGCCATCAGAGTCCGTGATTCCCTGTCGACCCCAAGCAGAGTGAGGGAAATTATTTTACGGGCACACAACAATAACCTGCAAGTGGGAAAAAGGCTCCCTTTCCTGGGAGCACGGGCGGTGTGCATACACTGCGGGGCCTTGGAATCGCAAAACCACTGCCTTTACACTGCCGGGCCTTGGAATCGCAAAACCACTGCCTTTTCAGCTGCCTACGTTTCCACACTTGCTGTAGTCTCTGCTTGTACTGTGATCTATATATATACATGCATGCCTGCTCTTGCTAGGTAGTCATCACTGTACTGTTATTGTTGCATATATATCTCTGCATGTGGACTGGCCTTGTGGCCCTTTGCTTGTGCTCAGAATGTGTGGTGACGTTGAGATCCACCCTGAGCTTGCTTTGCTTCTCTTGACTGGTCGTTTGACCCCTTGTTCTCCCCCACTTTGCCTATGGGGGTGTGTCAAACATATATGCTGCATATTGTCTAGGCTGTAGTGGGGTAGCCCATATGGGGTACAACCCAATTAGGGTTTACTACTTGTACTCCTGCATGCTGCTAGTTCATCCATTCCTGCTGCTAGATTCTGACAGGACACTCGAAGGAAAGTTTCCGGTAAGTTTGAAAGCCCCGTATTTTTGCGATGGTGGTGCATTCTTGGTTGCCTGGAGCTTACGGGTAGAGCGAGGGAGTAGCATGTTGGGCGAGCGAAGAGCAAGCAGCGGATGGAGGAAAGGAACTTGGTAGTGAATGCGAGGTTGCACGTTCTTGCCCTCACTTTGCGGCTTCTTTATAGTAGATTTCCGGCACCAGAAGACCAGAGGCAGGAGTACGTACTTGTGGTATGGGTTGATGAGCGAACAGGGATGAAACTGGAGGGAAACCCCCGGGAGCACGAAAAGGCGCTGCTTCCGCTCGCACGTGGCACTGCCCATGAACGAAAGAGATTCTTCGTCGCACCAGCGCGCGGTTCCCCCCGCACCGCCACGCCACACGACCACGAACGGAGAGACGGAAGAAAACACAGCAGCGGGAGTGAGGGGCCGTGCAGGAAAAGGTCGAATGAGAAGGCGCGAAGAAGGTGCCCGTCTCCCACGTCTATGGCTACTTGGCCTTACATACTTGGCCATGGCTACTTGGCCTTACATACTTGGCCATGGCTACTTGGCCTTCGCATCAAATTGGCCGTTATTGCTTTGGGTTGGTGTGTTGTGTGGACATTGCTATGAGGACGCGTTAACTCTCACCACATCTTCGCGATTGTACAGGATCGTATTTTCAAAAGGCATGACAAGCCACAGGCCCTAATAGCTGGAATTGAGTGCGGTGGCTGATCAATCTGCCCGATCGATTGCCAAAATAAATGGGAAGCGGACTCGTCCTAAGGACCTTGTTCGCTACGACCCTTGAACCGAACCGGCCCTTTCGGCGACATGCTCTTCCAGAAAAGTGGCACGTCGACGGGTTTTCCGGAAGCAGCGATAATCTCGACCACAGCGCACCAAGTCTGGTTGGAGAGGTGTAATGCGGTGTTTAGGGGGAGTCGGTTCCAGCCAAAAAGGGCCCTTCGGAAAATTGCTGTCAGTTTCGCGAGGCATGTGAAGATCTACAGTCGCGCTCGGGAATGGGCGGCGAACAAGGCAGGGAAGAAGGGTGGGGGTGATTGGAGCCACTTGGACGCAGACGAGGCGACCATCATGCGGAGGCTGTTTGTTTCGGAAGCCTCGATGACGTGGAGGGCGCGTTTTAAGGCAGTATGGGAAGACAGGGGAGTAGCCTTCCAGCCACCATAGAGGGGACGAGGGGGGTGGGGTTACTTTGGTAGCTTTCTACACTCTCCTAGCTCCAGTTACGACTGAGGATGTATGTATGCAAGCTGTATACTTATATCCACCAAAAAAAAAAAAAAAAAACCTTTTCCGCAATGTGATGTGATGTTATGATCTGATAATACCCTAGTGATTTGCAAAGCCTTCTTAATTTCTTGAACCATATTACCATATTTTTACGGGATAATAGTTTCTCTGTATATCTGTAATATTATGGTGCGATTCTTATGTCTTTTTAGAAATTATGGTACAAAAGGAAGTTACAAGAGATTGTTGTTGGTACAAGGTGAATTCTGCGAATCGACGATGCATTTCATAGCGCGTATGCATTCCTCCACGCAGATCACCTCGTTTTCCCTCGAGAAAACGCAGCAGATTGGTGACCTCGATACGCGCTATAAGCAGAATTTTCTCGAGGCGCCTAGTATCTGCTGTTCAAAACCGCTTATTCACCTGTAGACTCCTCCACGCCCACTCGTAACCACAGAGGTCATAATTGGTTTGAGTCGTCTTTACTCACCCGTCAGGGCCGACTGAGTCATAGATCACGGTCCGTAGATCACGGGTTTGAAGCCTCATGGCTGACGAGGAGGCAAATCGGCAAGCGCAGGCGGAGGAGATGGAGGCGCTGGAGGCGATCTACGGCTCAGATTGCTTCTCGTACTCGAGCGACGAGCACTGCTGCAGGGTGAGCCGGATACGAAAGTCCCGAAAGTTAAGTCGTTCGCGAAAATCGCGAAAGGCGAAAGTCCTTCGCGAAAGCCGCGAGCAGATCGCGTCGCGAGCACGCCGTTTGCGACGACTCTTCGCAGATCACCATCTGCATTTCAAATGGCCGAACCGATCGGCTCGGCTCGTCGCTCGGCGCGCCGTCTGCCGAACCGGGCCGGACGCCGCGCACCGTGGGCTCGGCCCTGTGCCGAGCCGAGCCGAGCCGAGCCGAGCCGAGCCGGAGAAACATATCGAGTGGCTTTTTGTCAGAAGAAAACATATCGAGCCGGTTATTCCTTTCGTGCGGATTTAGTGGGGGAAGGATCCCTTTTGAGTGGCATTAATTTCGTTTCCGGCTGCTTGCTTGCGCGTCCCCGAACCCCTTAACCCCGTCTCCTTACACTGACAACTCGATAAAAGGTTGAGTTTTGAGTCGTCTCAAAAGTCATCTAACCCTGAAACCCCGTCTCCTTCCACTGGCATCTCTCCCCCCCCACACACACTCCTTCCCCTTCCTTCCCCCCCCCCCCTCCCTCACCCTTGTCGTTCATCACTCCACCTCCTCTCTTTCCCCTCCCTTCTCTCCTCTCCCCACCAGGTTAACATTCAACACCCTGATTCAGTCGCACCCGTCCCCACCACCCCCCCCCCTCCTTCCTCACTCTCCCTCATTCTCTGGATAGTCATACCCACCCCCACCATCCCTCTCCCTCCCTCACTCTCCCTCAGTCTTCTCCTACATCCCTGCCTTGTCCCTTCTCCCCCTCTCATCTCTTCCCCCCCCCCTCCAGATCACCATTCAACACCTTTAGTCACATCTCCAGACACCCACTCCCCATTGCCCCTCACTCTCCCTCACTCTCCCTCAATCTCCCTGTGCGTCCCTGCCTTGTCCCTTCTCCCCTCCCATCTCTTCCTCTTCCTCCCTCCCTTCTCTCTCCCCCCCTCCCTTCTCACCTCTCCCCTCCGGATAACCAGTCAATTCCCCGATTCAATCACGTCTCTAGACAGTCACACTCACCACCCCTTCCCCTTCCCCTCCCTCACTCTCCTCCTGCATCATCCCACTGTCTCTCTTCGCCCCTTCCTCCCCCCTCCCATCTCTCCTCCAACCAAATAACCATTCAACACCCCGATTCAGTCACAGTCACATCTCTTAACAGTCACACCGGCCCCCATCAACCCCCCTCCCTCACTCACTCTCCTCCTGCACCTCCCCACCTTGTCTCTCCTCCCCGCCTTGCCTCTCTTTCCATACAGATAACCATTCAACACCCTGATTCAGTCACATCTACGGACAGTCACACCCAGCCCCCCACCCTCACTCTCCTCTTGCACCTCCCCGCCTCCTACCCCTCCCACGCCGCCCCCGTTGCTGAGCTGGCGCGCTGCGATTGGCTCCCGGACAATGCGAGAAGCAGGCTGTGCTGCCAGCTGGATAGGATGGGGGGAGGAGGCGGAGGGGCAGAGGTGGGGGGAGGGGGAGGGGGAGGGGGAGGGGCACATGAGGGGGAGGCAAGAGGAGGGGAGGAGGGGAGTGTGTGTGGAGAGGTGGTGATTTTCCAATGGGTGGAATGGATTAAGGTGGGTAGATTACATGATTACCCTCCAAACCGCATTATACTCGCAATAGGTAGGCTGCACTATTGTTACAATAGGTAGGCTGCATTTTAGTCACAACAGGTCGGCTGCCCTATAGTCACAGGAGCTAGGCTGTATTACAGTCACAGAAGGTAGGATGCATTACAGTCACAGAAGGTAGGCTGCTGCATTACAGTCACAACAGCTTGGCTGCATTACAGTCACAACAGGTAGGCTGCATTACAGTCACAACAGGTAGGCTGCATTACAGTCACAAAAGGTAGGCTGCATAATCAATGCATGAGAATCAATCATCAAGCACCATGTGCAACAACATAGTAACAGCTCAGGTCATGCCACCATCCCATGCCACGTGAAATGAGGCGTTTCAACATCTTTTGAGGCGTTTCAAAAACACCCTGCATTTCAAGAACCACCTGCAACAGCATAGTCACATCACATCTCCGCTCATCTCACCATCCCATGCGTTGTCCTCCCCACATGTGTGGCACCACGCCTGCCTCTTTTTTGAGGCGCCTCAAAAAGTTGCACATGAGTCAAGTCAAGGTGACGTGACACAGCTCAGTCCATTCATCCCACCATCCCATGCGTTGTCCTCCCCACATGTGTGGCACCGCACCACACATGCTTGCCTGCCTACCTGCTGCCTGCCTGCCCACTCCCCACGCCTCTCCATTCCTCCCATTGCTCCTCATGCCTCCCCATGTCCCCACATGCCTTTCCACCCTTCGCCACCCTCTCCCCATGTCCCCCTTCTTCCTGCCTGCCGCTCGTGTGTGTGTGCAGGAGCAGCAGTGAGTGAGTGTGGCAGCACGCTTCTGTGCTGGCAGAGCAGCAGGAGGCAGCGGCAAGTCAATGGTATCCCAACCAACCCCAATTACCCCCCAACCAACCCTAACCACTCCCAACCACTCCTGCTTGCCTCTCGTGTCTGCAGGAGCAGCAGTGGGTGTGGCAGCACGCTCCTATGCTGGCAGAGCAGCAGGAGACGGGGAGGCAGGACAAGGCAATGGTGTCCCAACCACTCCTAACCACCCCCCAACCACTCCTAACCACCCCCCAACCACTCCTAACCACCCCCCAACCACTCCTAACCACCCCCCAACCACCCCTAACCATCCCCAAACCGCCCCGAACCACCCCCCAGCCAACCCTAACCACTCCCAACCCAACCACTACTGCCTCCCTCTCGTGTGTGCTGGAGCAGAAGTGCATGTGGCAGCACGCTCCTCTGCTGGCAGAGCAGCAGGAGACGGGGAGAGAGGGGAGCAACAGAGGGGAGGGCAGGGAGGCAGCAGGGGAAGCAAACGCGAGTGCATTCCAATTCCAACCAACCACCTCCAACCACTCCCAACCACTCCTGCTTGCCTCTCGTGTGTGCAGGAGCAAGAATGGGTGTGGCAGCACGCGCCTTTGCTTACAGACCTGCACGAGACGGAGGGACAGGAGAGCAGCAGAGGGGAGGGCAGAGAGGCAGCAGGGGAGGGTGAAACAGGTGCAGCAGAGACGGCAGAGGCAACAGCAAGGAGAGGAGGAGGCGGAAGAGGGGAGGAGGGGAAGGTGGGGGAGAGTGCGGAGGAGGGGGCAGGGGAGGTGGAGAGGGCGCTTGGCATTGTGCACGGCGTTCCGTTCACTGAGAAGAGAAGTGAGTGAGTGTGTGAGAGTGAGTGAGTGAGGCTGTTGATTTCACTCAAGAGTCACCTCCAAGAGGCAGGGGAGGTGGAGAGGGCGCTTGGCATTGTGCACGGCGTTCCATTCACTGAGAAGAGAAGTGACTGAGTGTGTGAGTGAGAGTGAGTGGGTGAGCCACAAACAACTTGAGCCACTCATTTTCCCTTAACCCTGCACCTTCCAGGTACTTTCCAGGCGCACCTGGCGCCTGTGAGCTCGCCTGCTGACGTGGCAGCAGTGATGGACGTCCTCCTGGCCAATCGGAAGATCGCAGGCGCCACCCACAACATCATGGCCTATCGGATCGTGACAGCTGGCGCAAGCGGCAGTGCTGTGAGTGGCATGTGTGGGGGTGGAGGTGGGGGTGGGGGGAGGGGAAAGGGGGAATGGGGAAGAATGGGGGGAGGGGGTATTTTGAAGATTCTCAAGAGCCACCCACACACAGCAGCATGGCCAATCGGATCGTCATAGCTGGCGCAAACGGCAGCACTGTGAGTGGCATGCATTGGGGAGGAGGTGGGGTGGGGGGGGTGGGGAAGTGGGGGGGTGGGGAAGTGGGGAGATGGGGGGGAGGGGTTGACTTGGAGAAATTCTCAAGAGCCACACACCACAACATCATGGCCTATCGGGTCGTGACAGCGATGACGATGGGGACTTTTGAGGCGTCTCCGAACAGGACGCGACTGTTGAGGCACCTCAGAACAGGAGACGACTTTTGAGGCACCTAAAAGAAAGCATCATAGCCTATCAGATGGTGACAACATTGACGATGGGGGGGCAGCAGCAGGGGGCAGGCGGACAGTGGGTAGGCCGTGTGGGGCTGCTTACTCCTCCTTACTCCTCCTTACTCCTCCTTAATCCTCTTTACTCCTCCTTACTCCTCCTTACTCCTTCTTACTCCTCCTTACCTTACTCCTTGGTACTCCTTACCCCTCTGGCTCACCCTTTCGCCCTCCCAGCAGGTCATTCAAGGCAACGATGATGATGATGATGATGATGGGGTGGGGAGGCAGCAGCAGGCGGCAGGCAGAGTGGTATGGGTGGGGCTAACAATGACCATGGAGCGTGAGGAGTCTCTCCCTCTTACTCCCTCTTACTTACTCCCTCTTACTCCCTCTTACTCCCTCTTACTCCCTCTTACTTACTCCCTCTTACTCCCTCTTACTCCCTCTTACTCCCTCTTACTCCCTCTTACTCTCCTCTTACTCCCTCTTACTCCCTCTTACTCCCTCTTACTTACTCCTCTTACTCCCTCTTACTTACTCCCTCTTACTCCCTCTTACTCCCTCTTACTCCCTCTTACTCCCTCTTACTCCCTCTTACTCCCTCTTACTCCCTCTTACTCCCTCTTACTCCCTCTTACTCCCTCTTACTCCCTCTTACTCCCTCTTACTCCCTCTTACTCCCTCTTACTCCCTCTTACTCTCTCTTACTCTCTCTTGCTCTCCCAGCAGGTCATTCAAGACAACGATTATGATGGAGAGGCAGCAGCAGGCGGCAGGCTGATGGTGGGTGGAGCGATTAGGCTTTGCACTCTTGCGTACTCCCTTTTCCCCCTATTACCCCCTCTTACTCCTTCCCCCCTCCCAGCAGGTCATTCAAGATAACGACAACGACGGGGAGGCAGCAGCAGGCGGCAGGCAGAGAGTGGGTGGGGCGAAGGCGTTTCTCACTCCTGCGTAATCCGTTTTACCCCCTTTTGCCCCCTCTTACCCCCTCTTATCCCCCCTTACCCCCTCGTACTCCCTCTTACCCCCTCTTACCCCCTCTTACCCCCTCTTACTCCTTTCTTTCTCCCAGCAGGTCATTCAAGACAACGATGATGATGGGGAGGCAGCAGCAGGCAGCAGGTTGATGCATCTGCTGCAGATTGTGGGGGCGGCCAATGTGGTGAGTGAGGGTTGGGGAGGGTGGTGAGGGGTGATAAGGGGTGGTGAGGAGTGGTGAGGGGTAGGGAGGAGTGGTGGAGATTTTTTGGGCTTGAACCCTATTCAGCTTAAGAAACCAGCAGCAGACGGCAGGTTGATGCATCTGCTGAAGATTGTGGGGGCGGCTAATGTGGTGAGTGAAGGGTGGTGGGGAGTGGTGAGGGGTGGTGCATTGTGGTGGAGTTTCCTGTATTTGAGTTGACTGAAAATACACCTGGGGGTGGCTGCAGCAGTAGGCTGAGCTGATGCATCTGCTGCAGATTGGGGGACAGCTAACGTGGTGAATGATGGGTGGAGGGGAATGGTGAGGGGTGGCGAGGAGTGGCAAGGGCTGGTCACGGGTGTTGGTGAGAGGTGGTGTTGTGAGTGAAGGGTGGTGGGGAGTGGTGGACGGTGGTGAGCGGCGGTGAGGAGTGGTGAGTGAGGGGTGGTTGGTGGGGAGTGGTGAGGGGTGGCGATGGGTGGTGAGGTGCAGTGAGCAGTGCTGTTATTTTCCTTATTTTAAGATGACAGAAAAAGTCATCTGGGGGGTGGGTAGAAGCAGGCGACAGGCTGATGCATCTGCTGCAGATTGTGGGGGTGTAGTTTCGAGGCGCCTCAAAACTAGATTGTGGAGGTGGCTAATGTGGTGAGTGGAGGGGGTGAGAGAGGCGTGGTGAGTTAGGGATGGTGTATAACACTCATACACACCCTCACAAACACACACACACACACACAATCTTACACACATATTCACACACACACACACACACACACACACACACACACATGCACACACACACACACATGCACACGCACACACGCACTCACTCATGAGAATGAAACAAACAAAACAACTTTTCGAGGCATCTAAAATAACTATTTTCCCCCTTCCTTTTTGCCAGGTAGTGGTGGTTTCGAGGTGGTTTGGAGGAGTTCTGCTGGGTCCAGATCGGTTCAGGCACATCAACAATGCAGCAAGGTCGTTACTGGTAGAGTGCGGATACGTGGAGCAGCAACAGCAACAGCAGAAGCAGCAGCATAAAGGGAAGACTGCCAAAGCTAGGAGGTGATTCCAAGGAAGGTGATTCCAAGGAAGGTGATTCCAAGGAAGGTGATTCCAAGGAAGGTGATTCCAAGGTCACCTATTGGTAGAGTGTGGATATGTGGAGCAGCAACAGCAACGGCAGCATCAGCAGCAGCAGCCAAGCATCAGCAGGAGCAGCAGAAGCATCATCAGCAGCAGCAGCAGAACATGAAGACTGCCAAAGCTCGGCGGTGATCCCAAAGCAGTGGTGTGACCCGCCGAGCTTTGGCAGTGAACCCTAAATGGCAGCAGAACATGCGGACTGCCAAAGCTCGGCGGTGAACCCTAAATTGATTCTAAGGTGTGACCCGAAGGTGATCCCAAGGTGCTTCGGAGGGGTTAACAATGCTTGTGGGGCTGCGGCTTGTGGGGTGTGGATATGTGGCGCAGCAGTGGAATCAGAAGCAACAACAATAGGAGCTGAGCCAGAAGCAACAGAAACAGAAACAGTTGCAGCAGCAGAAGCAACAACTGAACGGAATCAGCAGCAGCAGCAATAGAATCACCACAGAAGCAGCAAATCGGAGAAGAATGACAAGCGAAGCCAAATGGTGATTTCAAGTTGAGTGTGCTGCAGCGTGGCTGCTGCTTGTTGGGTGTGGATGTTTGGAGGTACAGCAGTGGTAGGAGAAGAGACAGGAGCAGCAGGAGCAACAGAAGAAGCAGGAGCGGTACCAACAGCATCAGCAGAAGCATCAATGCAGCATGGAGAAACAGAGAAGCAGCAGGAGAAGCAGCAGGATGGACAGAAGTAGAAGCAGAAGCAGCAGAAACAAGAAAAGCAACTGGAGCTTTGCAGTAACATCAAGGCATTTTTTGCAAAGCTACGAGGTGTAGTGTAGCGGTATCTCAAGGACCCTTAACCCGATGCTGTATATTCGATGCTGTTGATAGATGTATGAATCTATTTGCAACAGCAGCAGCAACAAAAGAAGTGCAAGAAAGGGTGGTATGTATGACAAGCAGGACAAGCAGGAACACCAGCAGGCAAGAGAGGGCGCAGCAGCAGTAGGAGCTGATGCTATTTACTTCTTTTTAGTGGCTGTGCCCTCTTTAGGCAGACTTCAGTAAACATCAGACTTATAGGCAAGTGTTTGTCGGATCTGCCTGTCGGTTCATTCTAGTATATTATCCAATTATTGATCTGACATCTACTTCACTTGATCTGAAAGGTGGTAGACTTGATGTGAACCCAAGCTTAGGGCGTGTGACCTGTGAGTGAGTTCGACAGAGTCCGACCCTAGGCTCGAGCTATTCAGAGTGGTTCGAGATGGTTTTATACAGATTGGTTCGAGTCAGCAGCCAAATCTGTCACCAGTGTTGCAACACGCGTAGACTGCCCCGCAAGTTCGCTGGTGAACAGTCGAGCTTCCTGCTGTATGCACATCCATGATTTCGCCCGTTACCCTTGCGATTTTTGCGACGGCAGTTAGCACCTAGAAATTCCATTTCATAGTGCAAACCTGAACTACAGTGCACACACCATGGCAGAAGCAAAGCGGTGCCTCAAATCCCGAAGGAACCTCCTCAACCATACATGTGTGGTTCGTGAGATATTTAGGCGCTTTTAGAGCGACACAATCCTTTTTTGTAATCAAGTGGCGCATTCAACTCCTACGTGTAAACTCAATCAACAACTTGTGAGTCCGATGGTCTGGGGGAGGCAGCACACACGTGTCTGTAAAATTACTGGTTTGGCAGTTTCTCGTTCCAGACCATACAGAAGCTTCGAAAGCACGCTGTAAAAAATGAGGCGGGACAATGATTTCGTTTACCCTACTCTGTGGACGTACGCCGAAGCGCTTCACGGAGGGCTGGTCGACGGGACTTTGATGGAGCAATAGACGCGAGCTGTCGCCGCTTCGACGTGGCTCCTCCTAGTCCGATGGTGATGTTGCTAATTTTTGCCATTTCTTGATTTTGCTTGCATCAATTGAGCGGCCATGGAGTTGCCCGTGGGTTCTGTTTTATGACCGGAGGGCTGTCGAGTGTCGCGGTTCGCCAACACGTGCAAACAGTTTACTTGTATGATCAGTTAGCTGTGTCTATAATAACTGGAACATTTACTGTATTGAGTTTCTTGCTGGCGCCACCCGCGCTACTGAAAAAAACCTCCTCTGTCTGGTTGCAGGCGTAAGCTTCCCTCACTAGCAGAGACGTACATTCGGTTGCTTACATAAGAACCTCGCACATTTTGAGGAATGTTACGACTTTTAACCTGAACATGTGCGAACGAAACGATGAGTAGCTCTCTAGTTCAAGGAATTCGGGATTTTTCATCTGGCTATGAAGCGGGTCATAGGGGCACTGAGGGAATCACGTGACATTTAATCAGGGTCAACAAGTATGGAGGCACTTCCCAAAAACTCAAATGACTGGTTGGGAATGGAGGGAAATAGACAAGAGGCAGTTGGCAAGAGACACGATAGGCTGGAGGAAGAATCTCGCCTCACGTTGAGCGAGAGGGGATTCCGGAAACGGATGGACGATATGAAACCGCTTGGATTCGCAACATGCTCACGCGATCGCCTGACTGGTTCACCAAAGGCAGCGGGAGGGGGGGTGAGGGAAACCTCTGGTCCGAAGCGGAAATCCCTCTCGGCGTGCGCGAGATCTCAAGGAACAAGGGCGGGTAATTTTCACCCCATACTTGCTCATACCCATTCCCATCCATTTGAACGTTATCCGAACCGCTGAAAACGTAAAGCATCCGTAACCAACGAAAATGACGTGCCATCTGCCCCCTCTTCCCTCTCTCCTACCCTACGCCAAACTCGCTCACTCATTTTTCTTTTCTTGTCCAACAGATTTCCCCTTAGCACACTTCCAATCGATCCATTTATTGTTTCCTGCCGTGTCTTCTGCTGACTGCTTCGATGCAACTGATCACCCGACTGCTCACGCTCCATCAAAACTGACTTTCGTTATCTCCCGCAGTGAGATTCCAGTCGCGCCTCCTTCGCGTTGTGCCTGTAAGTTAATTTGAAGCCCTTAGTTCAACAGGGGTCGGCGGATTCGACGGGTTGCTTTTCAAAATAGAACGCTACATTTTAGGCAAGAACGCTACTTCCAGCAATCCCCCCCTCGTTATTTATGTCTGGTCGTTCTTAGTTCCAGCCGCGAACTCGCTACAATAGGACTCGCTACATTTGTCAGGTGCGTGCGCAGCCATGGCTTCAACGTGTCAAGATTCCTCAGTATTTCATCCAGCCAGACCCGCCATCGATAGCCGTATACAACCCGCACATTGCGGCGAACAACCCGCAATACTGGCCGCACAGTCCCCATTCTCTGACTTCTCAGCTTCCACAGCATGCCCCGACATTTCATGCTCCGGCACTGATCTGGGCGCGGATTTCGCCGTCATTCCCGCTCTAGACCGGCGGCCAAGTTCCAGCCGTGTACTCGCTGACGTGGAAATGGCGGCGCTGGAGGGCAAGCTGGCTCTGCTCGAGTCGCAGCGGCAGTTAAGCGCCGTCAAGTGTCGCATTTTCGTCGACATGATGGAATCAACTATGCAGTCTGCCGAAGAGTCCACTATCGAGAAATACGCAACATATGCTAAGAGGGACACCCGTTTGAGTCTTGAGTTGCCTGAGTACGCACCCGATGCGGAGAGGAACACCGGTTTGGCACGGACGCTATCATCATCAGGCGCGAAGCTTCACGCGGCGTGCGAAAGAATGCGCGCGACGAGCAGAAACAGCAGCAGCGGCCGCGGCGGCGGCGGCAGCGGTAGCAGTGGTGACGGGCGGAGGGCGTACGAACCTGCGGCGGCGAGCCTCGGCGGCTCGTATAGGCGGAGGTCCATCGACGTGCCGTCTGTGTCATTAGGATCGGCGCGCTGCGCGTCGTGGCGGGAAGATATGATCTTCTACGCCCCAAGTACCACAGGCACCGGCAGCCCCGCCCGCCCCCTTTCCCGCCGCCGCAGCGGCTCCTTTCGCGTGCCTTGTGCCCCCCGCTGCGCCCCCAACGCCTCGGCATGCGCCGAGCCGCTGCCCCGCGACGTGTGCGAATTGCCTGGCGGCGGCGAGGCTCGGCGCGCAGCGACTGCGGCGCGGTCAGCGATCGTTTCATACTACTCCGGAGCAGCCGTACGGACAGGGGCACGAGGATCGCTGCGCCGCAGAGTCCGCCGGGCTGAGCGTGCCTCTTTGGCCTGCCAGTCATCGGAGTCAACCGGATCTGCGAAGTCAGTCGAGTCTGCGAAGTCAGCGGCTGTCGCAGAGAGATCTCGTTTCGGCGTCCGACGAATGCAATTGGCTCGCTAATGCTTCGCTGCCTTCGCGTGCGGCAACGGAACCCGCATCCAACGGCTGCGCGCGCTCCACGTCATCGTCGTCGTTCATCGTGCCGTCTGTCTTCTCGTCCTCCAACTCTATCGCCACCACCTCCCCTCTCTTCGACTCATCCCTAGAAACAGGCTCTTCCCGCTCGTCCTCCCCCGCTTCCGCCTCGTCCGCTTCCCCCTTCAGCCCCGAAGCTTCCGCCCGCCTCCGCTCCCCCTGGACCAAGGGTCCCTTCGACCAACTTGCTCCCGTTTCCGCAGCATCTGCGCCAGGTAACTCTTCGGTTCCCGCTTCCGGCCCGAGCCCTGCTGCATCCGCCTCCGATTCCGATTCCGCGCATGAACCCACCCTTAATGGGCCGAGAGACAAAGAAGAAACGAGCAAGTCGCGGGGAGGCTCCTGGCGCCGGCGCGCGCAAACGAAAACGGAGGAGCGCGCAGTCGAGCCGCAGGGGAAGGCTGCGGAGAAAATTGGGCCCGCACCGCAAGAGGGAAAGCCCTCAGCAAACCGCGATAGACGACGAATGAGTCTGGGAGGATTCGCGAGCAGCCTGTTGGGTGATTTCCGGTACAAATAGATTTGTAACCGTAACGTTTTTTCCAATAACGGGGCACCTCGTAAGTGCAACACAAGAGCCCCACGCGCCCCACTGATTCCCACAACGGGCTTTCTTGCATTTGTCATGTACGACTGC